AGCATCATCCACCACTAGAATTAGCAACTAATCATTGAAGTAAGTGTTTTAAAAGATTAAGCAATGATTAAATTAATCTTTTTTAAACTAGTCCTCGTCAATTGAATTTTCTCAACTCGTAGAAAATTTCCCATTCCTTTGATTAGGATGCTATTCATGTACGGGATCGCTAAGTAAGAAATCTCTCTACATAATTTTGACTGTGACTCATTTTTAGCCTACCTAAGTTCCCCAACCATAAAATCAGGTGATACACAACATAATAATCGAGTACTTATGCTCATTATTAAAATTTGCAACATCATTCTAGACCATTATGCAAGTAATACATTATCTGGATAAAACACCCCACCCACAGTCCATACCAACAACTCAACAAGGAAGAGGAAAAAAAGTAAACCAGGAAAAAACATTAGGGTTTGAATCTCACTGAAGGTGAGGTGTGATTTCTAAACTGAGACCATCCGGCTACAAGTCAGAATCTTATTGTTGTTGTCCCATAGATAGTAAACCATGAGCAATGTTGTTGGTGGTTAAATATACTAGTATTACCCCCAACTCAACATATGCAAAACCATGCGTGTTCTATTTGATTCTAAAAGAATTAGGTACATAATACATGAACACCAAAAGAAGAATGCAAATTGGCACTGACTGGTAGCTTACAAGTAAGAAAAGTAAAAAAAAAACCATGAAAGACTGTAGTCGAAAGGAGACTGAGTTCTTACAAGTGCAAACATAATTTCTTGACTTTGTCTATAGTCGATTAAATCCAGAGAGGCAGAGAGTCGAGAGAAGTAGACAGGAGAGAGCACAGTCGATCGAAAGAGGCAGAGAGCACAGTCGATCGATTGAATCCCTAAGAAATAGTCTGTTTGTTTTCTTCGGGTTTTAGACGGGTTTGGGTTTTGGATCCTGAGATCCTATCCGATCCGACTAACCCGTATAATTTTCGGATTTCGGACCTCAGGTTGGTTCGGTTCATATAGATCGGTTCGGGTTTTTCGATCGGGTTTTTCGGGTAATTCGAGTTGGGTCGGTTTTTGCACAACCCTACCTCTTTTTCAATATGAGACAGTTTCACCAACACTTTTGTTATTTTTTTATTGTCTTTTTTAATTATGATTTTAATAAAAATAATTGATTAACTTTTATAGTTAAAAAATGTACAATTTTGTTCAAATATCTAAAATTATACAACATTTTCCTTTTTATTGGTAAGTTTATTAATAAAATTTTGCATTATCTTTTACAAATTACATTATAGAACTAATTATATGTAAAAAATATCGAGTATCTCACGAGCTTTTTAAGTCGAATATTGGGTAGTTCAATTCGAGTCGTTAGTATGTTGAGTCGAACTTCAGTTCGAGCCGAACCGAAATATTGTATTTGAAAAATGCTCTTGATATACGATGCAAGAGTTTATCCAAGTAATTGAAACTATGAACCTACAAATGTCTCCCACTCTTCGGCTCAATCTCTCCAAAGCCAGGGAGATGTTTCATGGACGGATCCACAGAAGGGCATACACGATGCAGTGCCACCATATTATTTCTCTGTCAGAAAGTTAAAAAATTTATGTTTATGAAAGGTGCAGCCGTATTGTTTTAAAAGGTGTCATTGTGTGATATTCAAAAGTTAAAGAAGTTTCAACCGTACCTCGTAATCAACCAAAAAACCAAAAAGAAACTCTTGAAATCAACAACAAAAAACCGAAAAAGTCCCTCGAAATCGATAAAAAAAAATTAAAATTTTTTTCTCGAAATCAACAACAAAAAACCGAAAAAGTCCCTCGAAATCGATAAAAAAAAATTAAAATTTTTTTCTCGAAATCAAGCAAAAAAACTTTAAAAATCCCTCGAAACAGTGTAATTAGTATAAAAAACACATCGAGCAATATTGAACATTAGTAAAAACATGAAGACACGTTGATAAAACCCGTGCTTTTTGTAATTATATTTTGTCTATATTACATAGTGCCAACGTATAAAAAAGGGTTTGGATCCATCCCTAAGGTGTTTTTCCATCCCTCTTCTCGGTGTGGACTTGGAGCGATATACGTGAAATAGATGCTCAGCCTGAAATGTTCGATAACGGCGTTGAAGTAGTGAATCTATCGGCACCATAGCTGTGGCAAACCATCCATTCTGGTTCGAAACAAGCAACGAGCAAGAAAACTCCTTTATAGCCGGTTACCAGCCCATCCCCTGTCGCCTCCACCCATGATCATGATTCAATTTTTCTCTACTCCCCCCAATCTTCACCTTACGCCCCGCCGACTCCCCTTTCGTCATAAGGCGTCGAATTATTCTTGGCGAAGTTAGTCGACCGTAAGGGCAATGAAGATTTATAGCCCCATCGATAGCTTACTTTTGATGGTCTTTCATGGTTTTTACATTGATTTTAATTAGTTCTTTTTAGCAGGAGGCGGAGCTAGAAAATCAGTATAAGGGCGACCAAATTTACTAACTCACCTCATTTCAACAAAATCAAATTTATAGGACGCTAAATGTGTTTAAATGTCCTAGTAAATTACTTTATATGATTAAACCTTTGTGTCATATCTAAAAATGTTGTAATAAGTTTATAGTATGTTTTTGGATATCCTAATAATTTTTTAAGACATTTTTGAAACAAAGTGTCGTATTAGTCTTTTTATTAGGTACTTTTAAAAAGTGTCATATAAACACATCTTTTTATAGGAAATTTGTTTCATAAGACACTTTTTCAAATAGTATCATATAAACTAGCTAATAAGACAATTTATTTCAAAAATGTCATAGAAACTTTTTAAGACGCTCAAAAGCATCATATAAATTTATTGCAATATCTTTAGATAGAACAAATAAGTGTTTGATCATGTATACTTAAGTATTGTAAAGTGGTTTATTAAGATATTTAGACATTTTATAAAGTCAATTTTGTTTTAATGCCTTGAGATTTGAGCAAAATGTTAAAAAATTATTAAGAGGCTTAGGCGGCGTTTTTTTTAAGAAGTGCTTAAGTCTGAAGTCTGAATTCACTTCTGAATTTTAAGAGGTGGTGCTGAAGTCTGAAAAAAGAAATATCAGTCACACTGTTTGTTTTTACGTCTGAAATCTGAAATCTGAATCATTGAAATCTAGGTTTTCTTTGCAAGCATTGGAAGCTCTAAAAGCAATTAAGAGGTTTTAAGTGAAAATGTTACCTCTWAATAATTCAGACATAATCAGAGCTTTTAAGCTCTTAATTGAAAAAAAAAACAAACACACTTAATACCCTAAGGTCTGACCGATTCAGACATAAGAGGGTATTAAGTGCTTTTTAGATAAAAAAAAACAGGGCCTTAGAGTTTGATAGATCAATAACATTAATTTTCCCATTTTTTAGGAAAAGTTTGTGTAGTGTAGGTATATTTTCATATATAAATTTCATTTTTTAGACCTATAAATAGATAAGAAAATTTTAGTTATAAATCATCCTGACTTTTTTCTATTAACTTAGATATCCAATCCACTATGCGAGCTAACTAATATCAGAGCGATCACCTCCTTTGTGGATAACCTAGAGTCACCACATTTTAACCTCTCCGTGACCATAAGAGGATTTTTATTTCTCCTTAGAATTAAACCTGGGACCTCCAGACATTTTTAATCTTTAGAGTTCAAGTTCAAACCAATTAAATACCATCCTTATGGTTTGTTATGGACTTTCATTCTCATTATCATTTGGATTCACTTGCTTGCTTCGGTTTGGTCTAATGAAATGGTTTTAAAGAATATGAACTTATAATATTTGATTTGGTTTATTGCATCTCGTATGGAATTGAATTCCGTTTCTTTATAAATACAATTAAAAAAAATTAAAAAAATTATAAATAATTTTAAAAATAATTAAATTGTATATATTTTAATTGATTATGAACATATTTTAAACCATTACTGCATACAAATCCTATAAATCCCGTGAACTATCAACCACCCCGTGGTGAATTCAAAATTCTATGTTTGTGGAATTTCAATTAACTCCCGTGATTTCAAATCCAAAAAACCATTCAAATCAAACATGACAACGTAATGTAATTCAATTTTAAATCCATCCAAATCAAATCCAATATTTCAAACGGATCTTACAAAACATTAGGTTTGACGGAATGATTTGGAGGGATTTGAATTTTGTAAAAAGATTTGAAATCGAAGGGATTTGGATTTCAGAATCCAATGTTTGAGGGATTTTAAAGAAATCCCAAGATTTCAAATCCGAACAATCTTGCAAACCAAACACATAATTAGAATGGATTTGAATTCAAAATCCCTCCAAATACTTTTCATTCATGCAAACCGAACGAAGAGTCTAACCCATACAACCCTTAACGAAAATCATAACCCGTTCAAAAACCAAATTTATATGTTTCATCTAAACTTGCTAAAATAAAACCCTTATTTGATTTACCCGATAGCCAACCAAACAACCCAAAAACCAATTAAATTGAGCCTTAGGGGCCGTTTACCAAATGCTTACTCCGGTAAGCATTTACCAAGTCACATTCCCTTACCTGATGAATATGACAAAGACCAAGAATCTTACCTAGTAAGAGTGAAGGCAAGGACCGAGAGTCTTACCCGGTAAGTGATGGCGATGACTCTTACCCCGGTTAGCACTTATCGGGTAAATTGTTACATACGATGTTGTTTTGATAGATTAAAATCTTACCCGATAAGTAAGCAATAAGAGTTGAATTTTACTATTAAACGCTTCCCGGATAAGTGTTTAGGTAAACGGCCCCTTACTCAGTTCGGTTATCAGGTAGTTCAAAGAAAGTTGAAACCAAATACACCGACCAAATAACACCCCAACAAATGGTAGTGTTCAAACCATGGCCTTACCGGAGAATTGCCAATTCTGGTCGGTCCTCAATGGTCCCAGCCTGAAAAACAAGTCGATGTTGCGTCAACCATGCGGGTTCCAGGCCGACGTTGAAAGACAAAGTGATTAAAACAAATGAGGCACATAAAACATCGTGTAAAAACCCATATAACCAATACGTTTGCGGTTAAGGTTCATGACCAATGTTCGAGCCAACTGATGAGACCAATTGCAGCCATTTTTGTTATTAACCAAGTAACAAAAGCAGCCCCCATATATACAAAGAACCAAATCCATACAAGCATTTATCTACAATTCAAAAACCCATAAAAACCAAAAACCATTTTCACCATTTGAAAAAAGAAGTAATTAAAAAAACTAATAGAAATATCAATCTTTGTATTTTTACCATTTTGCAGATGAAGCAGTCTTGAACCAGTTCATATGTGCACCAAGATCATCACTTTCCTTGATCATTGTTCATTACCCATGGCTTTTATAAACCAAGCCATTTATGTTGAACTCAAAAGGGATTAGGAATCAAGCCATTTCTTCGAAAACCATCAACTACAATGGCAACATAAAGATGAAGTGGTTAGTTGGAACAACTCCCACAAGATACGATTTGGCTTATCATCGTAAACTAGAGCCAAGATTTAACGTAATTCAAGGTGTAGTGTGATTTATGCAGATGTTGATGACTTGTAACAATAGGGGTACAGGTTTTAGGCTATGTTTGACAAACTGGTTGATAAGCTAGTTGTTGGCTGATAAACTAGTTACGTTTTTTTGGAAGGGTGTTCCACCTATCCCTGGACTAGTCCCGGCAAATTGTGACTACAAGAAATCAGCCATGATAAACTCAGTGGGCCACAATTGTTGTGTACACCTGGAATCAATCCCCAGGCAGGTGGGATATTCCACCACATCCCCCAAGACCTCAACCACTATGCAACAACCCATGTGGTTCACTAGATAACGATGTAAGATGACCTAAAAGAAAATATATAGGTGGCATTTATGTAATATAAGGGGCATAACTGGGAAGTCTTCTTTAAAAAACCCTAGATGACTATCTAAAATAAACCATTTGATTTAAAAGTCAAAACATAGACAGAAGATCAATAGAGAGTATTACCTTCGAACAAACTGGACAGGTTTCACTTCTCTCGTTCCACTCGTAGATGCAACTTAGGTGATAATGGTGCGAGCATTTGGTAACAATCCGAGGATTTTCACTTGTATATTCTGCAACAAATACATTTCAAGCTAAAAAGTCAACTCACATCTCAAATAGCCTCATTGTAGCTTGTTCCTGGGGAACATTTCAAGCTCAAAACGACAACATAGGAAAGAATTGATGACCATATTAAATTTTAGTAACTACTAACAGAAGAAACATCGGTTTTGCATTTGAAAAGCAATGAATTTGACTTCAAGAGTCAAAGTATACCATCTTTTTTGTTACCTTCTAGACATATTGGACAAACATCCTCCTCATCTTCCGAGATAGTGTTGACTTTACTTTTGACTTTGTCCAATGCAACCATCAGAGGGATCTCGGCATGGCATTTCTTGGAGCCCTCTTCACTTGGTATTTGTTGGACGCTGGTTTCATGAACCATTTCCGGTCCTACTCGTGAATGAAATGATCCTTTTGCATGCCTCATGAAAGATATACCACTGCCACTGCCACTGCCACTGCCACTGCTGCTGCTAGATCCAGATGAGCTGCTTTGTGCAATTGTAGGTTGTGAAGAACTTGGACCTTGATAAGGCCATGGTAGTGCTTCTGTTCCTCTTCTTCCAAGAACAGCTTCACACTTTTGAAAAATACAATCGAGAGTCAAATCCCTAAGTTTTGAAGATAACTTGTTGGGAAGTGAAATCTGATGGAATTGCTTATGATGAAACTTCCTATGAAATTTTACACTACAGTTTTGAAGACAAAATATTAAAGCTAGTATGTAAACCAAACGGGCTCAGTATATCGCACCGAAGGTGGGGTGAGGTCTTGGAAGGGTGGGATGTAAGCAAACCTGACCTCTAAGTAAAGCAGTTGTTTCTGAGACCCTCGGCTTGAGAAAAGTGTGTGAATTTAGGAATATATATATAAAACGATAAGTCAAAACCTTTGAGAGTAGGAACACAACGTAGTAGTTTTGACTATACCAAGAGATTGTTGACCACAACAATGGGATACAAGGAGGAAAACTTTAGTCAGAAAATTGGTGTTAACTGTGGGTGTTTGGGCCAGCTTGTATGCACCTCGACTAATCCTTTGGGCCTTGAAGTTTAGAGACAAGAAAACCTCCGGTGGTCTTTAGGAGAACCCAAAGCAGTGACAAATGGGGAACAAACCAAGGCCTGACTAGCTGAGCTACCCTCAAGTTAAAAGTAAAACTTATATCTTACACCTAAAAGAGAGAAAGAAGGATACACCACAAGTCCACAACACAATACGATAAATATCCTTCCTCTTACAAAGAATCTTGATTCTCTATAAGGTGATCACTAGGTCAAACCAATATCATAAATGCTTCTCAACATAGACACTCAGGATACATAGGTAAAATGTAATAATAAGAATTACATTAAGGGTAAAGTCGGAAAAAATGGAATTATCACTCTTAGTATAGACTTCTTGGTTTGTGTTCGCCAATTTGAGGACCCTTTCAACGGATGAAAACGAGAATTTAAGAACATGCCAGCTTTTGCTATTTTATCTTCAATTTATATCTTTTATGCTCCTAATTTTTGAAGCATCCCAACTCCCAACAATTTGACCCTGTCTCATATTGTACCAGAATTTCCTTTTTAATACAAGAATGGGACCGATAATCAGACCTTTATTTCACCTCAAACCGAATAAATGACACCCATAATATGAAAATATTAAATGGCCATAAAGAATATTTTCAAGCATGATGCAAGTTAGTTGCAACAACAAAGGAACATAGATGCATGATTCAGTTTCAAGCGAGCATTTTAGTTCCATAGATAAATAAAGACCATAACCTACGGGGGTTACAAAACATAGCTTCAATATGGGATGAATAATGAATACAGTAAGCTAGTTCATTAGCGTAATGTTCCCTCTGTTTCAAGAAAGAGATGCATTTGACGTTTTGAGTTGATTAAACTAAGGGGGTGTTTGGTTAGAGGTGTTAAGCACTAAGTAATGGGATTGAAAATAAAAGAAAGTGTTTGGTTTTATATAATATAATGGGCCCATTCCTCCACAACCCAAAATTTTCATTCCAGGTCAAATTGAAGGGATGAAAATTCATTCCCATGTTCATCCCCTGTCATTTTCATTTTCATTCCCATGTCTCAACCAAACAACCCCCAAGTATCGAAGTCTAGATAAGTGTATGAATTTCAGCAAACCTTTCATAACCCCATACATATCTATAGAAAATGTTACAACCGTATCATTTACATCATTTTGTCTAATGGCCATCCAAATTTGAAAAAAACATAAAAGTATTAGCCAATGTTAGGAGACTTTAATCGGTTGATATTTGGAAGGGAACTAAACATGGACCATCCACGGGCACTTAGATTTGTTAAAATTCATGTCAATTGAAGAGTTGGAATGTAATCCAAAAAATCTTTAAACATCTTTTCGTTCAAGTATGCAAGTCAAAAAACGATCAAAGTTTGGTAATCATGTTGTTCGTTTTGCCTATGACAACTCTATTGATCTTGAATAGAAAAGTTGGGTTTGGCACTCATAAGTCAAAGGCCGTCTCTTTTTATGGAACCAAGGGAACACATCAAATCATATGTCTCATATAGTAATCACAATAGCAATATCACAAGTGTACCTTCAAATCTACATAGATCTACACAAAGCTATAAAAAGATTCCAAAAATGTTTATGATAATTAGATTTACGAGTTCTCATCAAAGGCACAACCGCACAAGTTCTAGTCATAATGGTGTCATCATTAGCTGTATTCACCGCAGAAAACAGTGAAAATGCTCAAGTATTACTATATATGGTATGCTCATGATAACTAGATTTATATATTCTTACCAAAAGCAATGGAAAACATCTTTGAATTATACAAGGGAACATAGAAATACAGTTACAAACTAGAGCTATTAAAAAGATCTAAGGATCATTATGATGATTAGTTCAGCAATTCTCCAAAACCGTAAACTCTATTTACAATCATGCTGTTATAGGCGATCATATTTCATCGACAAAAACAAAAAGTGGTCGAGTTCGATAAGGTAATGTCGAAACACAGTTAAACTTAAAACAATTACATAATTCTCACCAAAAGCACATATTCTTGCAAAATAATGCTCTGCATAGCCAAATTCATAATGAAAACTGCAGAAACACTCCAGTTATACATGGAAACATACAAATATAGATACTTTTTCTAGTCTCCTAATGGAACTTGAATAACATTAATAGTTTGTAAAAACTGACCTTATTGGTCAAGTTCTGTAGGAAGGAAGTGAAATGAGCCTGGGCAGTTCTATTGACCATGCCACTTGAGTCTTGAATTTGTTCGTCATCATCCGAGTCTATACTTTCGTCATCAGGCACAGCGGCACGAAAACAAGAACACAAGGAACCCATAGCAATTTGATCCAGTCTAGAGCTCTACAATACATGACACAAGTTAATTCCATCAGAAAGAATCCAGCACTCATCATTCAGATTTCAGAATATGAAAACCATCACAATTCACAAAGTAACTTGAAAACACATTAATTAACCAAGGAAACAGAACATAGGAACCTAACAAAAGAAGAGCAGAGGTAAAACACACACAGAAATAGATAAGTTAACAAGAACAGAAATTGATTATACATCTTAGGGTTTTGGAAATAAACCCAACATTTGTTAATCACACAATAATTAAACTGGATCGATCATAAGAATACCCACAGAATAGCAAGAACGATGACCTTATTCACAGAAATTTGAAGCTCAGATTAAGAATTAAAAGCAAAATAGCAGAAACACCCATGTAAAACTTCAAATACGACAGTCAACGGCGATACCCAGAAGAAAAAAACAAGATCCCACATACGAAATCATCTTATCATCCAGAAAATTGACATAATTGCAAAAAAATTGTGGAGTCTCACCTGGTCTAAACTAAAACCCCGATATAAGTAATCCGAAAGGATTGAAGAAAAGAGGATGATTTTGATGGGTTATGGAGAGAAGAAGGTAGAGTGAGAAAAGGAAGGCATTTTGAACAGCGGTCATTAAAGATGAGTATTGATAGTGATTATAAAGCGATAACGAGGGAATTGGCTTCAACGTTGGACTGAAAGCGACTTCTTTTGCTCTATTTGTTTCGTCGGAAATTAAGGGATTTGGTTTTCCCGACCGACATTTTTGGCAAATAAAGATTGAATTTTTAATGTTGTTACTAATACAACGAAATAAACTTAAAGGTGATGTCTGATTGGTTTGAGCTCGGCTCCAAAGCTCAAAATTATCAGGAGGCCTCAGATTCAAATTCAAGGAGGAAAAAAAGTCCCCTTATGGCCATGGAGGTTCAAATGCGGTGACTCCAGATTATCTGCAAAGCAGGTGGTCGTATTGAAATTAATCGGCTTGCATAGCGGGTTGGACATCCAGGTTAATAAAAAAAATACAACGAAATACATATTAATTTTGATGATTTGTTTTATTATTTGTCTTCATCATTTTTATAATACAATTTTATATACTTTGAAAAAATGATAATATTTTTTATATTTGATAATTCGAATAAAACATAATTTTGAACAGAATATAATCAATGTTAGTGTCAAATTAAAATTAAATTTTTTTTGTAATCGTTTTAGTTCGGGTTTTTTTTCTTGTAATTTAATATAGTTTTAATAACGAGATAATTTATTTTAAATTTAATAAAATAATGTTTTTCTATAAAGATAATTTTTAGTTTAATCTTTTAATTATAATTTAATATAAAGTTTAATAATGAAGTAATTTATTTTAGGTTTAGTAAAATAATGTTTTTATAAAGATAATAATTAAGTATTATATTAAAATCCAATGATTATCTTAATTATATTTTAGATTCTTTATATTGAAAATGAGATGTTTATTCTATATTTGATTGTGTTTATCAATTGTATTGATACACAATTTACTAGTAATCTTAAATTTTAAGTAACATGCATTATTAAGCAGTACTTAGGGATTGTTTGTTTACCTCTTAATAGTTTCATTAAGAGGCATCATCTGAATCATTAAAAGGTGAAACTTGTTTGGCGGAAAAAACATATGTCTCTTAATGGTTCTAAAACCATCTGAATGATTTTGTATCATGGGTCTCACTTAACCATTCAGCACCCTAATTCCATTGTAAACAACTACCGAACAATTATATTTCATTTTGCTCTATATCATGAGAGTCTCTTAATCATTATGACCACTTAATCATTCTGCACAAAACCATCCAACAACTGCCAAATAACCCCTTAATACATTAAAATTGGTTTTTAAGATTTTAACTCAAATGTTTATTATATAGTACAAATTAATTATATTACTAATATATTTAATACATTCATTTCTTAACTGATTTTCTACAACTAATTTTTGAATTTACGTTGTGTTCTCAAATTTGGGGAGGAAAAGAAATATTGGAAAAATAAAAATAAAAAGAAAATAATTTTGTTATTTGTGTTATTAAAAGGAAGAAAAAAAGTTATTTTTATGTCCTTAAAAGTGGAAAGAAAGTAAAGAAAAAATGTCATTTTTATAAATATATTCTTAAAATATGTCTTTTATAATAAAAAGTTAGATAGTTTTGTAATTTAAGGGGGTGTTTGGGATTGCTTATTTGAAACAACTTATGATTTTCTACAAAAGTCTTTATCAACTTATTATAAGTTAGAATGGTTTAACTTCTTCAAAAACTCCTTATTATCGGTTTGACACCGTATAAGCTGTTTATCCAAACACTTAAAAGTGTTTATTACTAGTACCACATCAGAATAAGTCGATAAATTGTTTTTATAAGCAATCTCAAACACCCTCTAAATAATCTTTTTAAAGGGTTTTAATTTCTTTTCTTTCATTTCCTTCTCTTTCCTCCCATATCTAGAAGGAAAGTTTTGAGAGGAAATTTATGATCATTTTCCTTTCATTTCTTTTCCTTTTTTTCTTAATTTTTTTTTGAGAAAACAGTTTTTTTACTTTTGCTCCATCGTTGCCCATTCTATATACTGCCCATCGCTGACGTAGGCCTCTACCATTGATCTTTATCTTTTTGATCTATTTTTTTTTCTTTCGGTCTCCCTCTTTTACAACAATTTAATGGAGCATATATACATATAAAAAGATGGAGAATCGAAAAAAAAAATCAAAAAGAGGGAGACTGATGACAAGGGCCAAAAGCAGTATGGGTTGATGATAGAGAGCGGATGTGATGATGAGGCAACGAGGGTCTAAATGACGTAGGGTTTGTGAACAATAAAACGTATTTAAGTTTTTTTTTACCTTAAAACCTTCTTACCCGGTTTCAGGTAGCTTTTTTGGGTAAAAAGGATATAAGTGATCAATTTTTAAAAATTCGTTTGTTTATTTATTAATTTTTGTAATGGCTTAATCATCCAAAATAAGAAAGTTTAATGGTTTTTTCATTAAAAAAACGTTCACGAACTTAATCATTCAAAATGAGAAAATTGGTCGGACATTTTTTTGGCTTTTTCATATTAAAGTATTTAAAACATTCAATTTTAATTGATTCCTATACCTTTATCAAATATAAAATAAAAAATATTAAAAAAAATTACATTCAACTCTAACAATTTTTTATTTTAAAGATTTTAATAATAATTAATATTCAAATGTATTTAATATATCAACAAACTTAACCACAAGGGTGGTGCATAATTGGTTTGAGCTTGACTCCAAAGGTCAAATATACCAGGAAGTCCCATGTTTAAATCCAAGAAGAAATAAAAATCTTCTTGTGGTCACGGAGGTTCAAATATGGTAACTTTGGGCTATCTGCAAAGCAAGTGGTCACTCTGGGATTAATCGGTTCGAATAGCAGGTTGAATTTTCAGGTTAATAAAAAAAAAACCATATCAACAAACTTTTAGAAAAAATGGTGGGAAAGAGATTATGAAAAACAATTAAAAATAATTAAATTTTGGAAATGTTTTTAAATTTTGGAAATTTTTATATTCTGTTTCTTGTTTTCTATATTTTACATAATCTTTCAGAAAACCTTTTGTAAGAAAAATATCTCTAAAATCTTCATTTTGTTTTTTAGAGAATATGTTGTAGATGTTCTAAGCTGGTGATTGGCTTATGAATCGATCAGTTGTTGCTGATAAACTGATCATATTTGATATATAATTGTTTATTTAAAAAATTACACAAGTGCAATTTACGGTCTGGATTTCAAGGCTAATCAACTAAAGATAAAACCTTCGTAATAAATAAGGCAAGCAAATAAACGAGACAAGAGATTTGGTGACGTGAAAAACTCTGTCGAGGGTAAGAACCTGGCAGGTATCGTTGGTGCACTATGCATGTCAAATAAGGACGTCATCCTTAATAATAGTGATTACAATGATAGGTAATTAATCACTAGCTTAATGGTGTATTTTAACGTTGGTCATCAGTTATTCCAAGAGCATTAATGAAGGAAATAATGGTATTAATCTTCAAGACCTGTAATAAATGAAAAAGATAACCATCGTCGAAGATAAATGAATGTTAATAATAGTCATAGATAATCTAACACCAGGGTTAGTCGAAGGAGATGTTTCTTATGAGGTATCGACTGTCTTCATACGTCGTGTATATCCCCATCGTCACGGATATTGACGATTGATTGATGTCGATGATATTTTCCATGTTGGTCGAAGACATTGGTTTTTTACCCAAACAATTTGCTCCCGAATATTTGAATTTTAAATCTGTTTTTTTTTTCAAATCCGGCCGCAAAAAGTTGGTTTTGGGGGATTTTTGACGCTCGTCCTTCTTTGGTAACTGGATCGGTTGAAAAGAAACCGAATCGGTTTTGTGATAAACTGAATCATCCATTTTGGCTATGCGTGTGTATGACCTCATCGTGTCAGAACAGCTGGCGAGTGACACACGTCGCACATCCAGGGCGTCAGTTGAATCTCCAAGACAAGTGTCGTCTATCAAGACAATTTGATGTCATGGTGATCTATTTGAGATTTCGGGGTATAAATACCCATTTTATCTTCGAGTTTCCCTTTTACGCGCTTACAAATCTTTCTAAGCAATAAAATCTTTGACTTTTCGAAATTGTGTGCAAGTGATCGTAGATATATACTCTAAGATCCCTATATAAGGTATGGTTCTTATGTCTCACATTCAACATTCAACGAAGAAACCTTGAAACCATTGAGAGGTTGTAGGCTTATATGCTACCTTTGTCACTATAATAGATAACTAAGAGATGAAAGATCCTACAAGTGCGATAAAGGAACGGGGTGATCTCGAAGCTTTTAGGTTTATTGTCGAGATCTCTTCAACTATAAAATTTACTAGTCCAAGCGATCTTCATCAGGATGAATGTCCCCGGGGGTGGTTCGTGTAATACGAATATCCCTTTAAAATTGGTTTTACCTGGCGTTTTCGCCCTTATCTAGGGATTTTTAAGAGGATTTCGATTTATCTCCAAGGCAGATGATGCCCTAGTTTTGGAGGTTCATCATTGTTGTTGAATGGTTGACTAGTGAATAAGAATCTCCCTTCACTATCCATGATCTGTCAGCTGCCTATTCGGTTAGGCCAAAAGGCAATCATCAAATAGTCTCTACCCCAAAGCAAGGGGTAGTAAGATCTTTGTTTCAGATACTTTTGTCAATGACAAAAGGTGGAAGACGAGATATGTCTTCGGGGGGATATCTTCGTTATATTGTTATTGTGGATAATCTTAGATATTAACATCTATTTTCATGTCTGTCACAGGTATTGATTTATCTCGATTGTCGCCCTAGGCAGATATTCCAACTAGGATAAACCGTTTCCTACGATTTTTGAATCGGGATTTCACTCCTACGACCAAGAGTTTCACTTTGGTTGATAGAGAGGACGAATACCACGATGTTGCATTTGTAGGGTCGTCTGGACCTGCTCTAAGAGAGGTAGAAGAAGAAGAGACAAATGTAGAGATGACTAGTAAGTGTTCTTCAGTTGTAGGTAATTTTTATCATAAATATCCTCTGAATTTCTTTCTTTTTCTTCAAGTAAGACTCCTACGAAGA